ACACCCCTTCCCTCTAGGCCTCTGGGGCAATTAATATTGTGGGGATCTCTTCTGCACCCCCCTCCCACTGAAAATGATTGGGAATTCCCTCCTGTAGAAAACGAACATCTTTCTCCCACCTTCTTTTCTAGGGCTGGATTTGGGGGGGGCCCTATCGCAGGACACGTCCATTATAGGGCCTCCTTCTTGTTAATGTATTTGGAGGCGCTGGAATCCCTTCCCCTCATAAGAGTACCACCTGAGGCTAGCATCTGCCTTTCTTTGCCAGTATGGAAGTTGTGAGGGGTTTCTTTCTTATCTCCCTACTAAACAGTGAAACATTAATGATTTCCTGGGGCAGACCAGCTAAATGACTCCCAAAATTACTGTATACAGAAGGTGTTGGGTGCTTTCGCCTTGTGATTATGGTAGTTTTGGTTTTAAGAAAAAACAGTAATCCCATTTTATGCAGTGAACACTTTAACTTCATAATGGATGAGTTGAATATCATAGCTCTTTATTATGTGAAGGGTGTTGTGAGACAATGGTATTTGCATAGCCTGAATACCTAATAAAATTTATTCATTCAAAATGTACTGAGATATTATTGAACTCTTTGAGATTAATCATGGGAATGGCAACGAAAGCTTACATTTTAAAGCAGTCTTATGAAAAACTTCCTTTTCCAATGTCACCTTGCCATTTTTACTTTATTAAAGTGCAGTAGTTTTAGAAATGTCTGTTGTGAAATGCGTGCTGTTTTAGAAAGTAAATTGAGTTGCTTGTCATTCAGCTGTATTATAAGTTTATTGGAGTTAATGTGGGGGGACGGACAAATAGACTGATAGGATGGTAAATTAATATTTAAGTTAGGATAATAAGTTAAATGTGACTTTGAATTTCCTGGCTTCTGTCAGTTTGTATCAGAATGCCATTCCTTCTGCTAATGTATATTTTCTTGTGCATGCTATGTCATTTAGATCAGGGGTTCTCAACCTTTTTCTTTCTGACACCCTCTTCCACCCCCCAGCATGCTATAAAAACTCCACAGTCTTCCTGTTCCACAACAACTTTTTTTCTGCATATCCATGTAGATTAAAAGCCAGAACTGGCATTAGGGGTAGCAAGCAGGGCAATTGCCTGGAGCCACAGGGGGGCCCGCAAAGCTAAGTTGTTCAAGCTTTGGCTTCAGCCCCAGGCCCCAGTGAGTTGAACACCAGCCCTACTCTGTTTTATTTTGGCAGACCTCCCTGAAACCTGCTCCTAGTTGAGAACCACTGAGTTAGATGATATGCCTTACATATAGTATTGTCTTTAGCTCTTGTTATCATAAGCAACAAAAACATTTGCTATTATTTTAAAGGACATTACTATGAACTTGAACATCTATAATTTACTGTTAAAATATTTTTAAATAAAGGCAGTGTCATATAAAAATTGAGCTGATTTGTGTAATAAACTTAAAATTTAACATCATGCTAATATATGGTCGGCATACTTATTCTTCAGACACAGCATCATGAATCAAGAAAAGTTAGCCAAGCTTCAAGCTCAGGTCCGAATAGGCGGAAAGGTAAGAGGAAAACAACATTACATTCAGAGAGAGACCTGCCATATTTTATTTTCCTTGTATATTTGAAGGGTCTGAAATAATACTGCTGTTATGATCAGGATCATAGCATGTTGAAGCCTGAAAAGTATCTTTATTTAAATCCAAAACAATTGGTTGCCAATATATGGATATTTTATTTGGTGACTTCATCTTTTAAATCTACATCAGTTTAACGCCTAAGTGTAGAAGGGTGTTTGTGTTTGTAGAAGCTTGTAGCATATAAACTTAATTAAATATGAAAAATACACTTGCCATATTTGTAAGATTTGCTTAAATTTAAGATATTGATTAATTATCTTTCTGGCAAAATGAACTTTGTGCCTTTCTTAAAATAACTTTTGGAAAATAAGGAAGAGAACATCTTGAGAGAGGGTGAAAGAAAGAAGGAAAATGTAAATGTTTCCTCTTGTAGAGAACTTGCTGTAAACCACTTTGAGTTGTAAATAAGCCAGTGTAAATCTTGTACACTGAACTATTTGAAACACTTTGAAATCTCTTATACTGAAACCCTTAAAAAACCCTAGAAACAAACTTGTCCAGGTAAAGCCTAACATACTAAAATTTTAAAAAGGGTAAACTGAAAAGAACTTCAGGTCATGGGACTTCTCTATACTCTTGAGAGATGGAGCATTCTGGGGTAGTAT